ACAAAACGAGAGATTTATTTGTTTTATTGAGCTGAATTTGCCTGGTTCCCATTCTGACTGGCTTTTATTATTATTATTTGTCATTAACAAAACAGTGAATTTAATACTAATTATTTTATCCATATAGCAATATCTGATTACTTTAAACAGGTATTCTTAGTATTCCTCCACACTAAACAGATTGCTCTTAAAGCACTCAAACAAAAGAGGTTTTTCTCCACCCTGCAAAGCTCTGTGACATTTGAACACCGAAATATTGAGAAATACTGTAGCAAATGTGAACATTTAATTTAAAAATCTGGCTCTATAAAACTAAGAAGGGTTTCAGAAAAGGCTACAGAACTTTTAGCACGTAATGAAAAGGTCTGTTAGAGCCCAGGCAAAGAAACATCCTGTTTACTCTTTCCCTTGTATAATTTGTAAATATATAACAAACAGGATTTCTGACCCAACATGACCTGCAGAAGAGGATGTGTTGCAACTTGTTGTAGTGAAAAGATGGGAAACCTTGGACACTGGAATGGAGAATCTGAAAATTATGTCTGATTTCATTAAGCCCCAAAGTTCTAGCCACCAAACTGAAGATCTCTTGAGAACTCTCACCACAGCTGAGACTGTTCTTTCTCCAAACCGCCAGTGAAACCCCGTTGGAAAATCGGGCTCCTAACTTTAAATCCAAACCAACAAAAAGCCTCAGACCACTGCGGACTCTGTTATGAACTGATGTCTTCTCAACAAAACCAAAACATTTCATTTAATGATATACACTAATGGTACAAAGGAAAATTAACTTGAACATACAGTTAGATGAACTGACTCTTTGAATTTAACAGTTTCAGACCTGCTATAATTCCTTTTTTTTTTTTTTTTTACTGAGATACAAGAACAGAGTCTAAGTCTCAGCCCCTGCCAGAAGAGATCTGCAGCTGGTGCCTCCTCATCAGTTGTATGGGGGTTTGAAGACAGGAAGGAAAGTCGATTCCCTCAAAAAAAAAATTAAAAATTTCCTTGTTCATCATCTTGAACTTGTAGATTTTACAGGTAAGGATATTCTTCCATATCTGGCTTCCCAACTTTGCTCAAAGTGAAGGCAACATTCCTGTTGCACTGAGGATTGATTCATCTACAAATTCAGACTATCCCATCGTCATTGTAATAAGCAAGACCAAAATTTTCTGACCTTTGTAGGCTCTTATTTAAGACACTTATGTGCTGATGGGACAATGGCCAGGGGCACAAGGAGATGAGCAAGCCCCTCAGTGTGCAGAGCATACCTTACCTGAATTCCTACCAGACAAGCAGTATTTTTTCTGTCATTTTTCCATGCTTTTCGATAAAGGCAGTGAGGGAGGACATTCAGTGCCCACCAAAACTGGCAGATAACACTTTTGAGAGAAACAACAGGTGTATTTTGTGTATCACACAAAACTGTCAACAGAACCATCTGCATTACTCCTCCACTGGCAGTCTGGGAGCATCAGATCTGTTGGTAACTGCACTGCTTTGAGGCCTGGAATCACACCAGTATGTTTGGGGCTAAATCAATTAACATGGCATAGTCAATTACAGAAGACAATACAATTTTACTTTACAGATTTATCTTTGATTTACGGCAAACAAAGGCTTAAACAAGTAGATCCCTGAAGCCCTTCAAGATTTCATTGAGCTGTGGGGCAGAACTTTCAACATTAACTTATTCTCTCTTATACCCTGTTCCAGGGCTGCCTCAAACACCCCCATTCTTGATGATGCCTTGTGAGACAATCACCCCTGCAAGCAGGAAAAAACAGAACCAAGGAATATGAGTTCCATGGTCAAAGGGACACCATTTCCCAGCACCAGGCTGTTCTGCCAGTCCCTTTGGATGGAGGCAGCTGAGTGAGCACAGGTTGATACACTCAAGCAGCTAAATAAAGAAACACCAATTAAGTTTGGAAGGCTTTTACATAAACCATAATCTTCACGCTACAATGGGGGGAAAAGGGTTTTCATTAACATTTTTCCTGTGTTTTTTTTTTTTTTCAGTAAAGGCCTAAGGGAGAAATCAGTCCTGAAAGTTTTTTTAGTTTGCTTTGACTTTTTAAGCCCAGGAGTAGGCAAGCAAATGTTTCTTATTTTTGTGGAGCTAAAAATGTAAAATAAAAATGGCAAAAATGAAAAAGAAAGGGAAAAAATTTAATGCAGATAATGAAAGCAATGATAACTTTCATTCTGAAATGATGGCTGAGGAGGTAAATTATAAAATACAATTTCTTGCAATGACTAAACAAACATAGCCCAGCACCTCAGACAGAATTTAAGCAACAAAGTCTCAGCTGTAAATCAAAAGGAAATCAGATTCGAGTTTTTAACAGAGCAAGTAAAAAATTTCACTTATAATTTGCTGTCATTGAGTGTCAGATATTGGCAGAGATGATCAACAGTCAAAAACCAAACTTTGTTTCATTTAATGATAACAGTTATCCTGAGCAGATTGGGAGATGACATATTTCTGCTATTTTTCACTCTAAACTATAATACTGAATGCCACATGACTTCTTCTGATGGAGAATCTACACAGGGATGCACAAGACTAAAGGAAGGGTGTTACAGATCACTAAAGATAATAACATGGAACAAGCAGCAAGAGATAAGAACTTAACACCAAAATGCATTCATGACTTAGCAGACAACATACATCTAATGTCATAAAAAAAATAAAAATCAATAGCCTTTTGACAGGTCTGACAAGAAAACATTTCTGAAAGAAGTGTAAATATTGCAGTATCTTTCTCCAACTCAGTAAAGCTTTTAGGCACCCTTAAAAGCAGTCACATCTTTAACTACATCTCCAATCAGCAAATCACTGACAGTTTCCACTGCCTTTAATGCTGATCACTGTGATGAACAGGCAAAGAATGAACACACACAATATGAGCTGAAGCACTTGGCTGAATTGGAGCCACTATATATAGCACCAGCTGCCACAGGACGTGTGAAACTGCTCCCTGCTGAACACAGAAACTCTCCCTTTGAATTAGCACCTCCATCTATTTTTAAAGATCTCAGGATTAAATACTTTCCTCACATCTTAAATTCCCCAGAACAGATTGACAAGGCAGGGATAGGATTTGTCCTACACAAAACACAGCTGGGGGAGCTGAGCACAAAAGGGCAACTTCCCAGCAAGAGAGAGTCAAATAAAGGCATCAGGTTGGATTTGAAGCTTTTGTGGAAGGTTTGCGGTTTCACACCCAAGGTAACCTGTGACTATATGGAAGTAATTGCAGTGAACCAAAGAGCAGTTGCACTGTCCATTAAAAATACACACAATGGGAATATAAAGGACGTTTTTGACACTGAATGGAGGGGACTGTGCATTCAAATAATAAACGTTAACTGATTATTTTAACCTGTGTAAAGACTCTTCTTCAAAACTGTTGAAAATAGATGCTGTGGTACTTCCAAGTTGTTAAAGAAAGATCACTTACTGAACCTTGACAACCTCACAAAGGCCTAAGAATGTGCAATTGCAGGGATGAAACTCTGAACATCATTAATAAGGGTCCTGGAATTTTGCAAGCAGTTGTTCCAGATATCATGTTCTGATTTTGCAAGCGGCATTAAATTTGCTTTTTTAGAGCAGTTCCTGAAAGAATAAAACCATGCCTCCTGTGTTACACTTTCAAGCAGCAAAATCCTTGACAAACTTTCTTACCAATAAAGTGACATGGTTTTAGGTGTTTTTTATAAGAAATAGAGACAATCCTGTCATTAAAAAAAAAATCTTCTTTGTCTCATTTTAAAACATTTTTTACAAAAACTATTTCAGTGTTTCATCATCTTTGCCTAACCTTAAATTCCCTTGCTGTTTGCAAAGGTCGTTATTTGCTGTACATCTGCTGTGAAATACAGAATCCGACCCCTGGTGGCAGTGCCAGGATTAAAAATTTCATTCCCTTGTCAGTCATCTTTCCTTCAGCAAGACCATGAGCTTCTTCAAACATATGATTTAGCATAAGTCACATTTTATTACTCTTCTTGCTCCAGACTTTCTCCAACTTGTCCACTTTTCTTCATGTTCAAGCCCCAAACTTTCCTTGAGGCTTTACTTCTGCTCACAGGAACAAAAGAAACATTTCATGTTTTGCAGGCTCTGTAGCTCTCCATCCATCCTTGGACATTTTTGCCATGGTATATGATACTGGTGACTCACTTCTTTCCTTTGAAAATGTAATATTCTCCCTGATATTCCCTTCTTGTCTATTTTTGGATTTCTGAAGTCTGTCATAGAAGGTTCTAGGTCCAGTAGGAATCTCTTGGATCAAGTAAGTTCTCTCTCATTATTAATGTTGCAGTACATAATTGCACTGAAACAATCTCAAAATTCAAATCAAACAAAATTCTTGCTCCCACTGTGCACAGAGGTTGGGTTTTTTTAATAATAATCCTGCTAATTATTAAAATTGATTGCACCCAGTGGCTGATGCATTTTAGGCAAACAGATTTTTGTGATCACAGTATTTGACCACCATCACGTGGTTGCCACGACTTTTAAAACTCACTATGACATGTGAAACTACTCTGTGACTTCCAAGAGAAAGCAAGTACCAGAGACATCACAATTTTTTTTTCACATTCAAACACAATCATTTACACGTGAATTTTGGGTAAGATTCTGCTATACAAACACAAAACTGTAACACACAACACACCACAACTGCCAAGAAAGAAGACATCAAATTTTACAATAAACATGAGATATCCTGACCCTGCTAAAATAAATCATCATGAAAAAATGCTTGAACCTCAGAAGTTGTTGAATGCACATGGATTGCTTTAATCACAGTCTGCAGTTAAAGGAGGCAAAACTCCTAAAGGAGGAATTTTGAAAATTTGTTCACATAATTCTTTATCTACATGTTGTTGATGATACTGAAAGTTTCCAGCATGGTCTTTAAGTTATAGCCAATATAGCAGAGACAATGAGTCAAATATTCAAGAGTCAAGACCAGGCTTACCTTGTTGCTGGCAGGGTGCTGACACGAGTGAAGAACACCGACGGCTCTACTTCCACGTGAAGGCCCAGCGAGAGGTTCCTGTAATACCCTTCCACGTGTCCTGGTCCACCAGAGTACTTAAAGTTCAAAATGGCTTCCAGTGTCTGGAGAAATAAAAGTAAATTACCTGTTAGCTATTTTTCACTACTGTGCATTTCACAAGTTCAATTAAATTAGACCACAGAAGTGATTTGCAAATTTGCTTTCCTAACCCACCTGTTCTATTATCTCTGGAAAAAAACACAATCTAACAAATAACTGCAGCTTAGGCAAAGAGTTGCTTTTTTTGCCTAATCCTTCTAAAAAACTGAAGAGTGCAGCACAAAGTCAGCTGGAGTTCCCTTTATGTAATTCCTCTCCATACCACATTTAACATCGAAAAAACAAAGAGCTTATTCTTGCTTAGAAGAGTTTAGGGTTTATTAAATGCTACGCTCCTTCATACCCTAGAAAAATATTCCCCACTTCATTACCTGCATAATCAAATGGAAAAGCTCCAAAGCTTTTGGGCAGACAAAGATTATACAAAGCTAAAAGCATCTGGTCCCTCAACAAGTCCCTGCAAATGTAAGCTCATCACCATTAACCAACAGATTAGAACAACACTGTTGTCGGGATCTCGTGCACACACCTTGTCTTCCTTTGTGTTCATTTTATAGGGAATGGCTGGATTGCAAATATGAAAAATGAAAATGATTCTCTAGCACTCATTACTCTCAGCAGCACTGAGCCCTTACTTCTGTGAGGAAATTTTGGGTTTTCTGTCTTTTTCCTCAATGAACAGCTTATGGGAAGCTTCCGATACCATTCCCCACATTATCATCAGTGTTCAAGATCAGAACAAACCCCTGATCCCTCCAAAGAGGTTATACACCACCTCTTCTTTCATTATGTTCTTGAAATACAATTTGTTGGATGCAAGTGAGGATTTGGGAAGTCTCACTGGATTTTTTTTTTTTCTCAGTTTTCATTCTGGTCCTCGGGCAGCTGCTGCTGCCACATCTCAGAGCAAAGACAGAGGTAGTGCCAGCCCTCCACCCTAACATGGACATGACATACTATGCTGGAGCCTGTGTCTACAAGGACAGATGTTTCCTTCAAAACATTTATAAACAACTCCAATCTCCTCTTTGGTTGGCTTTTAGCACATTTTTTTAAAAAAAAAGCAAAACCCAAACCTCACACCAACAACTTATCCAGGAAAGCAATTCTATTTATCAGATGCCATCAATCCTCAGACAAGTAAAAGTACTCTCCCTTTCTACAGAAGATTTACAAAACAATTTATGAAACCTGTTAAGTTTTTTTCCATAAGCTCTAAGGAACAATCTAAGGATTTTCTAACTTGCAAAAAAAACATTTATGTTTGATACCCATTCTTGTCTCTGAGTCTGGCTGACGGAAAAGAAACATAGATAGAATCAATTCCTTAAATGACCACAATCCAGTGATTTAAAGAACACCAAATTGAAAAGTTTGACATTTTGCTGCATGTTCTGCTATTTCCAGCCTGCTTTTAAGTGGGCTAACTCCAATTCCTAATTTAGTTTCATTAAAATTCATGAGAGTCACCTTACAACACAAATAAAAACCTTCACTGGGCACGCCGGACATAGTCATCCACCGTGTTTATGTCAATTCTTAATTGCAGTTAATGAACTCAAGTTTATGTTATGTCAGGAGAGCTAATCAATATTAAACACAAAAATAAAAAAGCACAAATCCATTCAAAACATACTTCATCCTAATTAACCAGCTGGACCATTTAATACAAACCAGAGCCAGGCTCCATAAGTACAGGGATCTGACACTACTTACATGGCAATGTGAGAATGGGCTTCAATTCCAATTGGGGAATTGTGAAAGCTCTATGCATGTTCTGCATTATTGCTGTAATACTCACAATATCCTGCTTGGAAAAGCTACTGTGCTATGGATCCATGGTTCGTTCTCCACAGCACCACAGCACAAAGCTTCTTTATTAGGCCCAGACCCACATAATGGCAGGTAAACACATCATAAATGTTAGTTTGAAAGGTCACAGAGCGTTATCATTCCAGATTCAAAACCCTTAACATCCTATACCAAGTGAAAAACCTCCAGAAAAAAAAGCTGAAAAATACAACTATTATGTGCCATTAATGAGCAGGAGGGTTTGAGGGCACCATCATCAGCTTGGTCCCTGTTGCAGTGAGGAATTTCTGAAAGAAGCCCTGATGATGACACTGTGTGTCCCCCACACCCCAAGCTAAAGAACATGAAAAAGAAAACCTAATGGTCCTCTAATAATCTGACAGCAGTAGGACATCCCTTCTCACCAAAAATGTACGGTCTAACTGGGGACATTTAACACTGAGGACATGAGAGATTTTGAGTATCTCTGAGAACTGCAGAACACCCAAACCCATATTCTTTCTCTGGCCATAATATTCTGCAGTGGTCTACAAATGTACACACAAAGATAAAGCATCAGGACTGGAGATGGATGTGTTGAGGGAGCATGACTGAAGGAAATAATTTTTTCAGAAGCCTTCAGGTGATTAGAAAGAGTTTTATTGCTCAGGATTTATATAATATGAACAGAGGAAAAAAAAAAAAAACAACCAAATTCAATCTCCTTTAAAGCCCCCTACGCACATGTACCTCGGAAAGGACTCCATATCCAATATGAAAGATTGATTTCCTATCTGTATGATAGCAAAAAAAAAATTCCTACACTTTCATAAACCTATAAAGCTCCAGTTTAAAGTATTTTACCACTCTCTCCCACAGAACCTGCAGAGAAGAGCAGCCCAAGTGCTACAGCCCCCAATTTAAATAATGTTGCATCCTCACTCCTTGTCAAACCCACACAAATCACAGTCTGAGCTGCAGATTCTCCTCATCTTTACAAATACCAATGGAATTTATTAGACTTCTCCAAACTGCATCCTTGCAGACTGAAAACGAGATGGCAGGGTGTCACTACGAATATCATTCTGTCTCTGGATGATCCAGAAAAAAGAAAAGGAAGGAAGAATGGAGCACACTGGACTGTCACAGCAGGTAGGCAGGAAAAGAAGCCTATTGATAGCTGAACACATCTGGAATTCAGAAAACCTGTGGAAAGGGGGGAGATTCTTGTTTCTAAGCTGAGGTCCATTCTGGAAATTCAACAGTAAAAATAAGGATACATTACTTATTATTACCACGATGGCTTTGGCTTGATAAATTTTTAACTATTTCACTGATCCTTCCTTCTATTGATGAAAAAAAGGAAACAGAAGTGCTTCTGCATGTAAGTTCCAAGTGACTCTTACCCAACAGCACCCGACATCAATAACACCTACAAGAAATATTTTAAGGATAAACTATAAAAAATCACTGGTTTGGTTTCTCACGCTTTTTTCCCTCAGACTGTTTTCTGCATAGAGCTGGTACCAGCTTTTTTTTTTTTCTCTCCAGTTTGTTCATGGAAATCCTTCCCATATTCACTTTCCTAATAGAATTAAAACAAAATTAGAGAAGCACTGCTGTTTGAGTAACAGGATGCCGCTAACAAAAAGCAAACCGCTGGGCACTAAAGTTTCCCAGCTAACTGACAACTGCCAGTACCCTTCTGCCAGTCCCTCAGGAGCCTCTGAACAGCAATACCTTTCCGTACTCATTTTTAATTGCCAATTCAATTACAATCTACAACTCAGATCGTGTATTTCTACTGAACTACCACTACAGCACCTCCTACCCCGAAGTAAAGAGTAAAATCTAAAGAGAAGTTCCATCTAATCCTACAGTTTATTGGTACTTGTGCAGAAGCTGGAACATTACTGACTGAGAACTGATCTCCCCAAAACAGCCAATGACACAAGAAATAGAGAAATGAATGAGGAAGGAGCAGAGTGAAGGGGATTTCTTGTGCTGGATGGTGCTCAGTCCTTTCTTTATACTTTGTCTCTAATAAGTGGGATTGACTGACTACCAGAGTCAAGGAGCTTTGCCCCCAAAAAGTGTTCAAAGTTCTGTGTAGCAGAACCCACTATTTTAGCTCAAGAAGTTGTCTTAGACCAAGAGTATGTTAAGGGAACTATAACTCAAGGATATAAGAATCCACCTGCAGAGATTCAGTCATTAAATCCTCTACGTAAACAAAAACAAACATTCCATAGAAGAACATAAAACATCAGCTTAATTTAATATTAGTAACTCTCCTAATTAGACTTTTTTTAAGAAAACATCCTTCAAGATATGAAAAGCTTTAAAAGACTCATTTTCTTTTAAAAAACCTTTAAAAAACTGTTGCACAGCAAGATTAGAAATAATCAACAAAGAAACGACCGAGAACAATATACACAATGCATGACTTAGTAGTCAAATTTATAGTGATATATTGTAAATGAGTAAACAATCAATAGCTGTTCATATACTTTCCTCCTCTCTGTTGCAAAATACTTTTATACATCTAAATTTTTGGTTTCATAAACTTTACAAACTTGGAAACAGTTCAGGACAGAAGCTCCTGGGTTTAATTCTTATATCATCTATTTTGCTTGGTAGATACGTTTCTTTATTCTTTGTTTCTTTATTCCTATGCAATTTTACTGGCAATAACTCTGAGTTTCTCCCTGTGTGTATCTTGCTACAGGAAGAATGAGAGGATTCTGTTATTATTATATTATTTTTTCTTGCAGTGTCCCATCACCACAAATCCTGCTTTCTGTGTTTCAGAGAGCAAGGCAAGATTTTGCCCTCAATTTTTTTCCAAACTGTAACATTCATTTTTGAAATATTTATAATCAGTGTTTTCCATAACTAAATTAACAAATCATACTTTGTAAGAAAGGCTTACATACATTACATTACGTTTTCAGGTCTTTTCCGAATTCCCTTAGCATAATAAAAGTGACACTAAGGAGATCTCAGCATTTAATACAAGATGAAATGTCAATACTTGGCTACAGGCAGTTTGCTCCTGAGAAACTGTAGATGCTGACTCCAGTAACAGTAAAGAAATACCAGACTGTACCATTGCAGACTCCTCCTTTAGACAGAACATTTAAAAACTAAAAACTAAGGTAAAAAAATCAGCATGAAGACCAGATAAAAGCTATATCAATTCAGAATATGA